AAGGCATATAGGTATGGGTAGACAGGAAGTAGCTCACTTTTGGAAGCTGTGGAGTTGGTGAGGTAAGGTTAGCTGTGGCTTTCCCTATTTCCCTGATCTCTCAGGTTTTTACCCCTATATCTGGCTCCATGTTTTTTATTTAATAAGACTGTTTAGAAATTCATCTACAACTTCTGTTACACAGTTTCCAGGAGCTTATTCCTAATGCAGGAGACTGGCTAGTTACCTTTCCCTTCTACAGGGCTCTGCTACATCCAGCTGTACAATGACATTTCATCTTACTAAACAAAACTTACATTAATTATGATGCTAAGTTTTTTTTCCTTATTAACTTCATCTTTAATGTTCCCCATAAGGTTGCAATAGAGGAGACCCAATATGCAATTCTGAACTTACATCTTGTAATAGACAATAGTGACAAAAATCACCAGTCTTGCTAACACCGAGGACAAAGTCCACCAACAGTTCTTCAGACAGCTTTCTTGCCTGTTCTTTTCCTCCAATAAGGGCAAAACTACCCTATTTTCTTAACCACACTCTCAGTAGGAATTATAGTAGTACTAACAGTCTCATTTTTTCATGTCACAAATACTATCTCCCTCAAATAACACACTCCAAGAATACACATTACCACCAAGTGGCAGTATTATGTTCTGAATCTTTGCCATCTGTCAAGTTTTATTGTGGCCCCTTAGATGGACCCCCCTCTAACTGCGGCCCTTTCTACACTGCCCTTTTTAATAATCTCTAAGCAGTTAAGAGAGATCTGAGCCCCCAAACGTCTAAGAGCAGTTTGTGGGACCTCTGAAAAGGGGATTAATGGGCCACCTAACTACCTTCTTGCCACTATGGGCATTTTTTTCAGGACTCAGAGCTAAAACTGCTAAACTAAAGGCTTTATTTGTTTGTTTTTTAATCAATTAACCTCTCTTTCTCTTCTGCTCTCAGAAAACTTTAAATAAATTTCAGATCAGTTTAACATCCTTTAGGACCAACTCAATTCTTTGGCTGCTGTAGTATTCCAAAATTAAAGAGGACTACATCTGGCCACTGCTAAGGATGGGATTTGTGCCCTCCTTGCCGTTCCTTCCACACCAACAAATGCAGATTTGTTCCAGAGGGTGCCCAAAGGCACAGGAACCAGACAAAAACTTCAACAAGCCTCCTCCTGTGGACAGCCTTTTGGTCCCCTCCCCCTCGGGACCCTCCCCTTGACCACACCTTTCTTCTTCTTTCCCTGCTTTTTAAATGCCTTACTTACCGGAGGCGCCTTCCCTATATCTGAACAAGAACGTTCTCACATAGCTCGCCCCCTACAGTGGCTCCATTCATTCCTGATACATCTGCAGGAGGCCTTTTGGACACTGGAGTTCTGGCTGCAAGGAGCATTGGTTCCTTTCACCCCAGAGCAGATACAATTCTTTACAAGAGCCCTCTATTTTAGCCAGCTCTCTTGCTCTGATGTCCTGTAGTCCTCTGTGGCTTCTGCCAGCTTACTTTGATGTGGCGCTCCTGGCAGTGGAACCCATGACTGCACCCAGCATTATTTTACCTGGATTGTGTAATTCTTGGCTTCATACACTGCCATCCTTACTTAACCTCTGTTACAGTGCCCCTCCATCTCTAACTTTTCAAAGTGAAATATCCTTTCACTAGCCACAACCCTGCCCCCCTTTTCCTTAATCTCTGCATAAGAGAGCTGGGTACCCCTCTTTTTTTTTTTTTTTTAAAGATTTATTTATTTATTATGTTTACAGTGTTCTGTTTGCATGTATTCCTGCAAGTCAGAAGAGGGCACCAGATCTTATTACAGATGGTTGTGAGCTACCATGTGGTTGCTGGGAATTGAACTCAGGACCTCTGGAAGAACAGTCAGTGTTCTTAACCTCTGAGCCATCTCTCCAGCCCCTGGGTACCCCTCTTAAACAGAACTCACCATCTCTCAAAGGCAGCTAATCCATTTACTCATCTAACTGTTCCGTCTGTCTGTCCCACCAATGTCCAGTGAGCCTGGGCTGCCCCTTGCCCCTCTTCACCATGGGTCCAGACCCCTCTCACATAACATCTTTACATAATGACCAACCTCTTCCCAAGTCCTACACCCATAACAGACCTCCCAAGCAGCGCCACTTTGCCCAGCCTTTTAACATCCCCTACTCTTTCGACAATCCTGAACTGCAAGCTATCATTCTCCTTCAACTGATCAACTCTAGGACCTCCTTCCCATTCTGACCCGACTCACCACTGCCAAATACCCCCAGCCCTTCAAGACACAATGCAAGTCCTTACCCTACCTTATATGGGGGGCCCTTATCTACGGACACCCACTTCCTCTTACAAGTCTCTGTCTTCTGCTTCTACCCCTCCCCCTCCTCCTCCCTGAGCAATCTCTCAGCTCCATTCTGTAAGCAGATCACCCATTTTCAGCCTCTAACACTATTATTTTTCAGAGGTTTCTTATGGAAGCGACAAAACAATCCACCACAGCTGATGGAAGTTAAAACTCTCAGTAGGGAGGTGGTGGCACACACCTATAATCCCAGCACTTGGAATGCAGAAGCAGGCAGATCGCTGTGAGTTCTAGGCCAGCCTGGTCTACAGAGTGAGTTCCAGGACAGCCAAGGCTACACAGAGAAACCCTGTCTCAAAGAAACAAAACAATAGAGTGGTAATAGAGCCTAGCTTCACTCCCCCATTACCATTCTTTTGAAGGAAACAGTCAGTGAGAGAATGCATTGCTTCCCTGTTGCAGGATACTTGAATCACACTGTAAACCCTGAGACTGGGTTAATCAAATATAATCAGCCTTTGGTCAGAGGCGAAGCCAGCAACTAGTGGAAAGGAAGTAGTCATAGAGTCAGAGGACAGTCAGAGTCTGGAAGACAACGGAGAGATACACAGAAGTAGGGAGGGACATGGAGGGTGGCTGTCTTGTTTGGTTTGGGGCAGTGGAGGGACACTCTTGCTGGGTCACTGGCTAAAGAGGAAGGTCAGCTGGTTGCTTCTCGGCCTCTCTGAGCTAGCAAGTTTTCGCATTAGCATCTGACTCCAGAATCTTTATTGGTAAATAGAATGATAGAGATTTAGTTAAAAAACTGTATTTGGCTGCAGTGGCAAGAGGCAGTTCCAGCCAGACGGTCCCACCAGGCCTCTGCCTGAGTAGCGGGTGAGCTGTGGGGCAGTGACTGTGGAGTCGCAGTCAGAAGCTGAAACAGCCGTGGGTTTGGGTGTACCCTTCTTTTTATCTGTCCTCAGGCGGACTTAGAATCTTCAGCAGAAAAGTTGACTGACAGCACCTGTGGAAGCTTCTGATGGCGGGATCCACATACCAAAGCTCCTGGTAGCTACCACTGCCAGACTGTGGGGGAACTGACCTTTACTGTCCTATAACTCCCCAAGTCAACTGGGCCACATACATCCAGTCTACTCCTTCAGAGACACCGTGGCCCTTTTGTTCTTCTGATTAAAAACAATTCTGCTTCTGGAGATGCCTTTCTTCTTTCTATTATTTCCAAGTTTCCTTCATCAATCCCAATCTAACAGTTGCAGATGGGTGTGGTGGTGCACGCCTTTAATCCCAGCACTCAGGAGGCAGAGGCAGGTGGATTTTTATGAATTCCAACATTATGAATTCCATACATCCTAGGGCTGAGGATGTAGTTCACTGTAGAGACTGTGTCTGGAATGTATGAGGCCCCAGGTTTCCTCCCCAACACTATCAAACAGATATCAAAATAAAATGCAGTGTTACTCAGCAATTCCAAACCTGGGGTACAAAAACATACATGACTGTTCACAAGCAACATTATTTATAATAGCTAAAAAGTAGAAACAGGGGTTGGAGAGATGGCTCAGTGGTTAAGAGCACTGGCTATCTTCCAGAGGACCTGGGGTTCAATTCCCAGCACCAATGTGGCAGCTCAAAACCATACCTAACTCTGGTTTCAAAGGATCCAACTCCCTCTTTCTGGCCTCTTTGAGCACCAGGCATACACAGGGTGCAGACATACATGCAGGCAAAGCATCCATGTACATAAACACTAATAATAAATTTTAAAACACATGTCCAGACACAGATAAGCAACATGTAGTATATGTTACAACAGATTACTCAGCCACAAAAACAAATGAAATATCCACTCACACAAGCCAGACAGAAGAGGCCACATACTTTATGATCCTATTTATAGAAACACACAAAACAGTATACACAAACTTAGAAGAACAGAAAGCAGATTGGTGAAGGGGGGTTGGGGGGATGGAGGACAACGACTAGGAACTGACTGCTAATGAAAATAGTTTCTATTTATAGAACTATAAAATGTTCTAGAATTCGATAGCAACGACAATACTCAAGTCTTGTGGATAAAGATCTGCTGAAGTACACACTTTAAAGGGATTTTATGTTGGGTGGTGGTGGCACACACCTTTAATTCCAGTACTTGGGAGGCAAAGGCAAGTGGATCTCTGAGTTTGAGGTCAGCCTGATCTACAAAGAGTTCCAGGATAGCCAGGGATGTTACATAGAGAAACCCTGTCTCCAAAACCCAAAAAAAAAAAAAAAAAAAAAAAAAAAAAAAAACAAAAAACAAAACAATACAAAACAAACAAACAAAAAAAACCCTCCAGTTCTAATCCTTCTGATCAAATGCTCAGTTCAGAAACCTACAAATTCGAACCATCCGGTCACGACAATTCTATCACCGTAATGTTTCCATTCTTTTTACTCCGCACCTTCTTTCTGACTCCTGGGTTAAGGTGTGGCTTCTTTCGCCCCTTTAACAACTACCGAGGACCTTCTCCTCCGGGTGAAGTTGAAACCCTTAACAGGACTTCACAGGGGCCTGCCACGACTGGGCTGCACTAGCCAGGCATTCTGGCTGCACCTGGCGCTTAGGCACCTGTGCTCCATGAGCGGATGCCACCGCACTTTTTTTTTTTTTATAAAAACTCTGTACATAAATAGATAAGTACATAAATAGTACGTAGTAGATACATACATAAATAGATGTGTATGGGTGTTTTGCCTGCATGTGCAAATGCACACCAGAAGAGGGCACAGGATCCCATGGGACAGATGGTTGCGAGCCACCATGTAGTTGCTGGGAATTGAACTCGGGATCTCCTGCAGAGCAGCTCTTAACCGCTGAGCCACCTCTCCAGCCCCGCCACCGCACTTCTTTGAACATGACAGTCACTGCCCTCCACCCGAGGCTCCACAGCACTTAGCAGAATTCATGCAGCGCGCGCTGTCACAGTGCAGCCAGCAAGACGCCTCCCCCCGGCTCGCCCCGCCTCACGCTGTCCGGAAACGCTCGCCGCTGCGGAAGAACACCGGAAAACGACCCTCTCTCTCTCTCTTCAACCCCCTCACACCACACACGTAGTCTCGCGCACGCGCAGGCTCTGCGCCTGCGCACTCGTCAGTCTCCGCTTGCAAGCCTCGGTGCGCAGGCGCAGTCCCGCGGCTCTCCGTTGAGAAGGTGCGGCTGCTGCGCGGGAGGTAGGAGGAGCCCCGGCATGGGGCTGGTGACCTGGCGGGGTGTGGGGCCTGTCAGTTCCCGCCGTACCCCCTGTCGTGCGACCCGGTCGGCGTCGGTCTCGTCAGCCTGAGCCACCAGCCACTCGATCTCAGCCGACCATCGGCGGAGTGGCAGGAGCGGTGCTCGGTAGACAGGGGCAGCGCCCGCCCGGAGGGAGGTGGGGACAGTGCTATGGCCACCGGACAGCCCAGCTGTCCGAACGGTCTGTCTGGCTTTAGGACCGTCAGGCCGTTTCCCCAGGCAGGCCCCCATTCCCCTTCCTTGGGCCTCCAGTAGGGGTAAGCGGGGAGGCTCCGCCCCGCCCCCGGATCCATTCATTCCCCGGACGCCTGCAGGGAGCTGGCAGTCAGGTAGGGTGCTGATGAGGCAGGAGTCCTTTGCCCTCTGGAAGCTCGCAGCCTGGTGGGATCCGTTATGTCGTTTAGCAGATATTGGTGGAGCATCTACTGGAGAGGGACATCTTATCACTCGATTGTCATCAGAGATGTGGGGGACTCAACACTAATGAAGTGTAAAATTTACACATCTAGCATGATAAAATTCAGTTTGCTTTATCCTGATGTTCCAGACCCTTGTGCCTAACCTCTCTCCCTGCAGACCTCTCTCTTCTACCCTGTCTCTTCACTCCCACTGTATCAAACTCTTGGAAGTTCGTGAATTCAACAGATAGTTGCCTAGCATTTATGACAGGTTGGGTACCAGACAAACCAAAGAAAATACAAAGCAAATAAATTTGTATCTAACTGATGTGCTGAACTTCACTAACAGGTAATTCAGTAAATAAAAATGTAGGCTCTTAAAACCTGAACCACACTGTGTAGAATCTCTGCCCTGCTACTTCAAAACTGTTCCCCACTCTGTTTGTGCCTGATTCCTCAATCTAAAGAAGATGACAGTAGATTGTATTACATAGGATTTCTCTAAGGATTAAGTGAGTTAAAGGTTTAAAAAGCAATTGGCATAGTGTCGGTACCCAAGCATTCAATAAGTGTTATGCACTGCAAATGATTGTAAACTGTGACAGATGTCACTGTGACAACCATGTGTGATAATACGGAATGAGGAGCAGGGCCCATGTGAGGGAGGAGGGAAACTCCCTTGCCTTGGAGGAGGTGGGAATGGGGGGTGGATTGGGGGGGAATCGCTGGGGGGTGGAGGAAGGAGGACAGGGGAATCCGTGGCTGATATGTAAAATTAAATTAATTATAAACTAATAATAATAAAAAAGATTATTGCATTACTAAATTTGGAATGAATAGATTTCTGCCGTTGGGTTATTTAGGGAGGTGTGTGTGTGCATGTGCACATGTGTACACAGGCCAGATGAGAATGTTGGGTATACTGCTCTATCACTGTCTGCCTTAATCCCCTCAAGACAGGGTCTCTCACTGAAACCTGGAGCTTGCAGTTTTTCAAGTGGGCTGGCTAACCATCAAGTGTTAACAATCCTCCTGCCTCTGTCTCCCTCTCCTCTGCCCAGCACTGGGGTACAAGTGAGCACTACCACACCTGGATTTTTTACATGGGTGCTGGATATGTGAACTCAGGTCCCCATGCTTGTGCAGCAAGCATTCTTAGCCAGTGAGCCATCTCCCCAGACCCAGATTATTCAGTTTTGACTTTTGAGCCCCAGTAAACACTCATGCCCTGCAGGCAGTTTAGAGAGCTCTTGTGGACCAAGGACAGAAAAGAGGTCTTTTCTCTCTCCTGGGTATGCAAGGACATACCCTTTATCTCTTTAGTCCAGTCATTTCGCAGCATTTGCTGACAGCCCCATCAGCTGATAAAGCGATAGCTGGGGATCTGAGGCCACTGTAGAGACAAGCTCCCTGTAGTTGGGGAACATTTATTTAGTGGCAGCCAGCCTTCATGTTTTTCTCCAAATTTCAGTAAAAACACATACTCTCAAGATACACATTTATTTTTCTGCCTGGAGACAATGCATTGGTAGGCTTCTAAGTGTTTGTGCATGTGTGTACGTGTTGTGTGTCATGTGCTCTGTGCTGGGACACACTGTGGGACAATTACACTTCTATCCAGGCTATACCTTGGAGACTTTCCCCATACCCTACATGCTCTTGTACCTTCCTGGAAGAAATGACATAAAATAGCAATATCTGTCTAATTATACTTAGATGCTTTTGGTTTTCCACAGATACCCTGGATCACTATGGCGATCGTGGAGAATCAGGTCACATGTGTTCTGTCTCAGAAGCAGCAGTTGGACAGCAACATACTCTCCCCCTTGTGAGCATTAACAGAGGGAAGTGTAAACATGTTCAACTACGGGTCCAAATTGAAGAAAGATACCTAAGTCATTATGGGGAGGCAGACAGTCCTCTGTTCATGGTTGTGCAAAGTCTCCAAGTAAATCAGAGAGAAGAGAAGCAGCCCTACTGTGGTAAGTCCTAAGCAGGCTTACGAGTTTCTCATCTGTGGACATGTTTCCAGATCAGTCCTCACTCCCCTAAAGACAAACCTGAAAACCTTAAATCGGGTCAAACGATGGATGAGTCAGATGATGATTTCAAAGAACTCTGTGCCAGCTTTTTCCAAAGGGTGAAAAAAAATGCAACCAAAGAAGCATCAGGAGAAAGGAAGAAGCAGAAGGCCTCCGGCAGCACTCAGAAACGAGGCAAACTGAAAGAAACCTGTCACACTGCCACCAGGAGCAAAACCCTTCAAGGCCCTTCAGAGAAGAAACCTCGAACAGACAGCCAGGCCTGTAGGACTAAAAAGCAAGGGGCACCCAAATCCCAAGAAGGGGACCCAGCTCTCCCTGTGAACGGAAAGGGAGGTGTCCTTGCTCCTAGCCCACAGTTTGTGTTGTGTGAAAGAGCACAGAGCATTCAGACAGGTAACCAGCAGGGCCCACTGCGACCCACTGCCAGATTTGGTTCTGGAGATGTGTGCTTTTGTAAACTGAGGCTCAGAAAACTTGCTATAAAAGACCAGGTAGCATATACCTCTAATCCCAGCACTCAGCAGGCAGGGCCTGTGAGTGTGAGACCAGCCTGGTCTATGTACTGAGTTCTGGGACAGCCATAGCTGTGTAGAGAGATCCTATCTCAAACAAAAGGCCAGAGAGTAAATACTGTTTTTACAGATCATATAGATTGTGCTGCTACTACAGTTGGCCCTTCTTGTCCGTGGGGTTCCAAATCCGCAGGGTTACCTTCTTGTCTGTGGGGTTCCAAATCTGCAGGGTTACCTTCTTGTCTGTGGGGTTCCAAATCCGCAGGGTTACCCTCTGTCACATGGCCGACATTTGAGAAAAGAAATAGTCTGTGCTAATATGTCGTGACTTTTTTCGTGTTTTTATTCCTAACAACTATTTATACAGCTGTGTATTGGGTATTATATTAATCTCTAGCTGAATTAAAGCACACTGGATGTACACAGGTTAAATGCAGATAGTATACTTTATAAAAAGCACTGGAAATTCGTAGGGACTTCTAGACTGATCTCCCCTAGATACAGAGGTCACCTGTTCATAATGGTGCTACAGTGAAAAAGCAGCTGTAGATGATAGGAAGTGAATGGGTGTCACCTTGTGCCAGTAACACTTAATTTACAAAACCATGGATAGCCCTTGGACCATAATTTGCTCAATCCAATGTCTGTGTCCCTTTGTGAATTTTCTGAGTATGTTTAAGAGCTCTGTGCTTGGGGCTGGAGAGATAACTCCGTGGTTAAGAGCACTGGTTGTTCTTCCAGAGGACTCAGGTTCAATTCCTAGCACCCACATGACAGCTCATAACTGTCTGCACGTAAAATAAAAGTAAATAATTTTTTTTTAAAAAAAGAGCTCTGTGCTGTTTACATGAATGTTTATGTAGTTGACTGTAGTCATGTCAGCATAAAAATAATGGTGCTGTTAGTATTTTTGTGAATTAATTCTAAGGTAGGTAAGTTGGAATGGGCCAGCCAATTTGGATAGGCAGAGGAGGCTTTCAGAGGGTGCATTACAGGTTCAGGTTCCCGGCCCTGTTGCCCTTGGCGTCCTCAGCTGTATGATTGACAAACCCTCTTCACACAGAACTGAAAACCAGCGTTGCACCTATGATGCATGATGCGTTTTCTGATTTCCTCACCTTCTCTTCTTTATCTTAAAGACACTTTTTTTAGTGCGGGTGCAGAGTCTTTCAGCCGTGGTGGCAAAGTCTGAGCCCCTGGAGACTGCTGAAGGACTACGTGATGCTGCCCAGGCACTCTGGGCATTCATGCTTCCTTTGTGAAGCTGGTGAAAGCTCCACGTGATTTGCACGTGCATATGTGTGAAATAGGCTCATAGCTTCAGGGTTTCCTCAATCTCCACGGAAGGCCATAGATGAATCTCAAGTTAAAGAATTAATCTAGAGCTGGGCGGTGGTGGCGCACACCTTTAATCCCAGCACTCGGGGGGCAGAGGCAGGCAGATCTCTGTGAGTTCGAGGCCAGCCTGGGCTACAGAGTGAGTTCCAGGAAAGGCTCCAAAGCTACACAGAGAAACCCTGTCTCAAACCCACCCACCCCCCCCAAAAAAAAATTAGTCTAGGAAGAGAGAAGCACTTGTCATTGGTATTTCTTTAATAAGAGCTTTATTGAGATATTACTCATATTCCATAATTTTACTCTTAAAGTGTACAGTTTAGTGTTTTTAGTACATTTAAGTTGTGCAACCACCACTACTACCTAACTTGAGAGCATTTTCATCACCCCCCAAATGAACCACAAGCCATCGATGAACCCAGTACCTTCCTGCCATTGATATATGTCTCCTTGCCATAGCGAGTGAATAAACAGGACCTATTCACA